TTGGGGGGGGAGAGGAGGCTGCGGGAGAGGGCCAAGCCCCGGCTGAATCCGGGTGGGAAGGGAGTCGTGGCACAGATCCGGAGCCAGTGGGTGGCAAGTGTGGCCCCATTTTGGCAGGGAACATGTGCAGCTGGGGCAGGGGTTGGCTGTGGCTCAGCTTGGTGCTGCTGCACGGTGGGTGCCCCCGGGTGGCAGCTCTAGTACCCCAGGGGCTGCTTCAGGGCTACTGTCGCTGCTGGGGAGACAGCAGGTGCATCCCATGCCCAGGCTGGGCACAGGGGTGCTGCTTGAGAGCTCCTTGCTCGTGCCCCTTGCCTTGCCCCATGCCATGGCACCCAAAGGTGTGCCAGCCCTGGGTGCAGGGCAGGATAGGAGCCCTGAGCAACAGGCAAGAGCCACCCCCCTGCCAGGGCTTGTGGCTGTAGCTCAAGGCAGTTGTGTTTTGGTTGTCCCTTGTTTTGTGTGAGGGGATGTCCCTAGTAGCCCCAGAGTGGCAGTCCTAAGAGCTTCCAAGCAGGAGGGGCAGGAGCCCTGATCTTGCAGTGCCTCGTTCATGTCCTGTGAGAGCCCTGCCCCGGACAGGGAGAGCCCTTCAGGTGTACGTGGCACCCTCTGCCCGCTGGGGGCGGTCCCCCCCCGCGTGCGGCTGCCTCTGCCGCCTCTCAGATAGCGGCAGTGGTGGCAGCGGTGGCAGCGGGGAGGGGATCGCTGTGACTCACCCCGCCCACATGCGGCTGCTCCTCATACCTAGCTGGGGTTAGTCACCCAGCGGCCCCTTCATGGTGGCGCTGGCGACACTGTCTCTCTGTTAGGCGCTCTGTGCACTCCTGCTTGGCTCTTCTGCCCTGGCTTGGGACCGGAGGATGTCCTGGTGACTCTCATGGAGGTTGTACCCGTGGAGTGAGATGGGGACCCACTGTGGGCCAGAGGAGTGATGGAGCCCAGGCCAGTGTTGCACGTGCAACGTGCTGAGCTTTGTAGCCTTGGTAGCCTGGCGCCAGGAGGAGGGAGCTCTGCTCTGTGTAACAGTTTCCCTCCTCACTTCTCTCGCTTGAATTTTGCTTTCTGGCTGTCCAGTTCTGTCAGACTGTGATGCTAATGCCCAGCTTTGCGAAACCAGGCTGAACACTCAAGTCTAAAGCGATTCTGCCCCTGGGAAACGCTTATTTTCTTGACAGGAGCTGCAGTAGGAGAGCAAAGATATGGTCCCATTGGCCCACTGATCCTTCAGGCATCCGTCCAACGAGGGTTTCCCATCCTAGAGCAACGGATCCCTCAGGGATGGGCCGTGCCTAACCTAAGGACGGATGACTGCAAGAGGACTGACTGATGGGGCTCTGTTTTTTGGGGTGCAGGGTACCTGTTCCTGAATCAGCATTGCACAGGCAACTTGTGGCAGCGTCTCGGAGCACTTTTGCAATGCTTTGAGCTAATTTACAGTCAGACACATGTGGCTTTTGAGCCAGAGGTGCATTTCTCTCTGAGCTCCAGCCCTGGCAGATCTTTTTCCCTGTGATGGGGCTCTTGGGGGTATCTGTTTCATCCCTCTGCCTGCTTGGACTGAGCTGTTTTCCTCCCTTTCCAGCAGCGAGATCATGCAAATCCTCTGCAGATTCGCTGCTCAGAGGAGCAGGGACAGCCCCAGGGACAAGGGTCAATGCCAGGGAAGGGCAGCAGTGGGGGTGACCAGAGGTCACAGCACGGTTCTGTCCCTGCGTGCCCGCAAGGAGCCCTGTGCAGCCAGCAGATAACCTGCAGGGGAGGGGGTGGCTGCTGCTGCCAGCCCGGGACACGTTCTGGGGCCCTGCGTCTCACCCGGATCTGGGGATTTCTCCAAGCCACAGAGTTTCCTGGAGTATCAGTTTTCTCCAGGCCTAGCCTGAAGGATGTTCAGGTTCTGAAATGACTTCCTCGGCGTGCGGGCCGAGCGGTGCGTCGGCGCGCGGGAAGGAAGGTGCCACGCGCTGAGGGCTGGGCTGCGCGAGGAAGCTGTTGAGAAAGCGTTAGGCACATCGAGACCTGCCAGGTTAGACTCAGCCGCCCTTTCCCCTATGGTCCCTGCAGCATGCAGTTCTACATTGCATTTCCCCAGCCTCTCTAGAGCTCATAGTGCCACAATTTGGGGGCCTGTGAGGTGGCCCTTCAAGCAGAGGATACTCTTTCTGGCACTTCTCAAGATCAAGCTGAGGTTGATATTTTGGCATCTGCCATCTTAAACTATTCTGACGATGCTGCTGGTTTCACTTTGTGGCTGTGGAGGGGGTCTGGGGAGCCGGGTGCTCTGGCTCCCAGCAGCCTGCATAACCAACTCAGCAGGGAGCTGGCCTCGCACCCAAAACCACAGAGTTCCACGTTGCCATCAAAAAATACCTCTGTAATTCATGGGAACACTCCATTTGCCATCTGCTTGTCTCTGCAAAACCCAAAATTGACCTGGGCTTGCTCTCGTAATCCTGCTCTTGTCCTGTCTGCAAGCCATCATTGTAACCACAGGAAGGAGAGCCCCTTGGAGCCATGAATGGGCTCTTAATAAAAGCTACATAAAGACGCAATTAGCAGTCTTCTGTGTCCAGTGGAAACTGGTGTGTATAATAGCAACATTTGAGATGCATAAAGCCCTGTTTTTTCTCCCTGATTTCTTGGTTACTTGTTCCCTTATTTCCCTTAGAATTGTTCTGATGAATCAGAAAGGCCATGATATTTGTGAAAAATCTGGGGGGAAAAAAAAAAAAAGCCCTCTGCTTGCGGGAAGCCTGCTGACCAAAAGGCTGCGTGAA